GAAATCAAGTTGTAGGACATTATTTGAAGGGATTAAAGATCAAGATTGTTAAAAAGTAAAAGGAAGGAATATAAAGTTGATTTATTTGATCAATAAAATAGATATGTTGTTATCTCTGGTAACCTTAATGGACTTTTGCTGATCAGGACTGAAACAAGGCTTTAAGGATTTGTTTATGGATAAGAGATGGGATATGGAAAGAAAAGATCATTTGTTGTATTTTAAGAGAAGGTATACATTATTAAAATTGTTTATACTTGTGATGAAGTCATTTCTTTATATATTTCTTTTCTTTTTCTTTACTATATTATTTTTTCTTTCTTTTCTATTTTTCTTTCTATTTTTTCCTTTTCTGCACTATTTTTTTCTTTTTTTTTAGTTTTTATTAGTTTTTATCTTTTTAATTGTAACTTTTAATAAAATTACTATAAAAAAAATTAACTCACATTAAACTTCAACATACAGGTAGTCCTCACTTAATGACTACAATTGGGACCAGCAACTCTGTTGGTAAGTGAAACACAATGTGACTGCACCCAACTTACGATGTCAGTTCCGCCACAGTCATTAAGCGTGACATCACATGACTGTGACTTGCAACTTACTGCCGGCTTCACTATTGACTTTGCTTGTCAGAAGCTGGCTGTGAAGGTTGCAAATGGCGATCACGTGACTCCGGGGATGCTGCGATGGCTGTAAGTATGAGGATGGGTCGTAAATCTACTTCTTTAGCGCCATTGTAAGTTCAAACAGGCGCTGAACGAGGCAGTAGTTAACCAAGGACTACCTGCATTTTAAAACAGATCTGTTTACCTTTTAAACTGAATTTTTCACATCTTTTGAAACACCACATTTGGACTATGTTTATTTTAAATATATATAGGCCTTTCTGATATCTTAAGGAAAAAATATGATGGAAGAAGAATATAATGAAAGCTCTAACTATTCAGGGTTTCATGCTTTTCTTATGAACTTCTTAAAAGCATCTAGTTGTTCAGCACATACATACATACTTTTATTTATGAAATATATTAAATTGTGATTTCTATTATTTTTTATTTTCTTCCCCTGGCCCAACTTCCCCTTTTGGCCCCACCTTTTCCCAGGTCTTGGACATTTCCTGAGTGAAATTCTCAGTGTTAAAACCTGCAACTGAATGCATTGGTCCATCTCCAAAAAGCTGCCTATCCACCCTCTATAGATAATAACAGAGAATATGGTTGCATCTTAATAACCAACATGTTTAAGATGGCATAAACTTTTGTGAATTAGTATTCACTTTGGCATGGCTTATCCTTGATTAGCAACTTTATATAGAGAGAGAGATGAAGAGGAAAAAAACTGAGTTATGTAAGCAAGAAATACTTGAGACTGCACTTAAAAACTAAGGCTAAGCTAATAGTGCACAATTATTCCTAGACTGCTTTGAGAATAGGTAGTCCTTGAGTTACGACCATTTCTTCAGTGATCGTTTGAAGTTACAGTGGCACTGAATGAATGGTACTTACACCTGGTCCCTGAAGTTACAGCTGTTGCAGCAGCCCGCGATCAAGTGAACAAAATTCAGGCACTTGGCAGCCTGCCGACACTTACAACTGCAGGGGCTCTTCAACCCCCCCCCACCTATCTCCCCCATCTCTGCCCCTTTGGCCCCCTGCACTCCACAGCCCTTGCCACCCTGCACTCCACCACCCACAGCTGATCTTTGCTATCTTCTAGCTCCTGCTGCTGACCAAGCACGTGCAGCCTGGCCCTTCGTGAGGCAGCTGCTGGGTAGGCGAGGCCTTCTTCCCGAGGTTGCTTGTGGTTTCCTCACGAGACCAGCAGCGGGAGCAAGAAGATGGTGAAGGTCAGCTGGGGTGGCGGAGCTCAGAGTGGAAGAGGCCTCAGAGTCCAGGGCAGCGAGGGCAGCTGGGGCTTTGCAGTGTGCTGCTGGGCTGGGTCTTCCAGGGGTGGCTGCAGCTTTGTGCTGCACAGCAAGAACAGGCTGGGGTGTCCTGGAGTGGCTGCAGCTTCAAGCTGCGGCTCAGGAGCTTCTTGCAGCCCCAGAGCCATGGCGCGTCAAGAAGCCCCTGAGCTGCAGCATAGCAACCCTAGAGCCACACAGTTCTGGGGCTACTTGCCACCCCACAAGGCAGGGTGGAAAGTGGCCAAAAGGGCAGAGATGGGGGGGTAAAAGGTGGTTGGGGGGTGTTGAAGCGGAGACAGTCCCTTACCTTGGAAGAACTAAGGCTTGGGGCTGGGAGGAACCAAGTCTGGAATGGCTTGGATTGGGGTGAGTCCTCAGCTAACAACCAGTGGGATTCAGTTAGCAATGGCAACAGAAAGTGTCGGGATTGCCATCACTAAGCAATGCAGTCACGTGACATTGAGCTTTATGACCACATCGCTTAGCAACAGAAATTCTGGTTCCAATTGCCATTGTAACTCTAGGACTACCTGTATGGTATTGTAACAAGGTGGAAAAATATGACAGAACAAGAGATATGTTTCATTTTATTAAATTACAAGCCAGCACATTTCCTTCAATATCTCAAAAATTCAGCTATGCAATAGTCTTACTTTGAGTACTTGTAATGAAAATATGTATTTTTGTTTGGACTGAAAGTCCAAATTCTACTAAATTTCTATTTAAACATACCCATTTTCATCTACTATATACTAAACAGATCTTATCCAGAAGACACCTAAGTAATTTTCAAGATATAACCTAGGATTCCAGAAAAACAAAAACAAAAAAACCCAGGTGTTTTGCAATGGCAAGTTGCAAAATTTGGCCAATCTGGCTGGTATTCATAGAGCTCAAATTACAAAACATATGGAACCTACCAAGCTTGGGGCAGGCTGATCAATCTTCATTGATGTTAACATTTATTTGCAGAAATAAAGACAAAATGAGACCCAGTATTCTGTGCACTGAAGGAGGTGGACTAAGATTGGAGGAGATCCAGGTTCTAGTCCACCCTCAGCCATTGAAGTTCACTGAGTGACTCTGGGCCAATAACTCTCTCTTTTAGCCTAACCTACGTCACAGGATTGTTGCAGGGAAAAACTGGAGAAGGGAGTGCTATGTATACCACCTTGATCTCCTGGAGGAAAAGCAGGATGTTTATGTAATTAATTACTTCAATTAATTAGTAAAAAGTGTTACATGCACAGTATTCATAATTTTTTCCTCACTTACTTTTGCAAATAACTCTTGTTGCTGCCTTAGGAGTTCTTCTTCAGGAATGCCACTGTTTTCCAAACGGGAATTAGCCTTTCTTCTTTTTAATGCTACAGTTTTGCATTCTTGTAAGACTTCTTTTACCTCACTGATATAGGAGCCAAATCCCAAACTTTCTAATGCTAGGAATTAAAAAAAAAATCATGGCTGATTAAAATCAAATCTTTTTAGATAAAAAGACAGCAACTTAGCATAACTAACAGTCTGCTACTGCATATAAAATGATTAGTATATATTGGTCACACAGTATTTATCAGTCATAAAGCAAAACCCATTATGTTGGTAAATTGAAAATTCTTCCTCAAGCTAGTCTTTTTAAGAAACAACAAAAGAACATAGGGGTGAAGCCCCTTCATTGGTAGAAACCTTTCTGGTATAAATGGAGGATTTCACCTGAATAAGAAGGAAGGAGCCAACCTCCACTAAGAAAAAGGCACCCCAACAGAATACAACCCATCATAAATATCTCACCTAAAGTTAATCTGTAATGTAAACAACTGTCTCCATTTCTTATACTACTCTTAAATCTCCGGTAAACTAAATGTCACACAGCTGAAGCATTATTGTTATTTCACATAATTTTTTAAAATATAATTTCCAAGGCTGTAATGTAATAGGAATACAACTACTTGTGTATGCACTTTGTATATTTCTGTATATTTTAGTAAAATATATATTAAATCAAATGCTTATCTGAGAGCATCCAATCATTGTATTTCATTAGATCTACATATGTGTAGATTCAATACTAATGCAATATTAGGTGTTCTGACGCTTATTTGGTAACATTTGATCAACAAGTTAAATCCACATTTGTCAAGATTCAATACTGCACCATCAGGTATTCTGGGGTAATTAATATGTTCTTTAACAAAGTAAAACATCTCTTTGATGTGAACTAGCATAACTGAGCTTAGTGAGAAATCTTGATGTGCTATACTTCCACAAATGGAAATATTTTAATTAAAGGATTACTTAATTCTGTGAAATCTCCCAACCCATTTTTGTGATTTTTAAAAATAATACAGAATCTTAGAATTGTTCTAAATATCAGCAAGATTTCTCTTCTCACACACAATAATCTTTTCAGATCTAGTAATAAATGAATAATGTTTGGCTTACTCAAGAGATTTGCTCTGATGCTGCAGCACTGCTGACAAAAACCAGATACAGAGATGATCAAAGAGCGAAACTACTCTGTAAGTCCTGAATAAATATTTTCTTAAATGATGCAGAAACATTTAAAGTTCATGACTTGCTAATGGTTGAATCACTTGTTCCTTTAGTACCATGAAATTTACATTAAATACTTGAAACACAATATAACACTGTGTAGAATTTAATGGAAAAGGAAAAAAAAAACACAATTACTTCCCTTAGTTTTGCATGACTTCAGTTTTCCAGAGATTTAAGAAATGATAAATATACACTAATTGGCTGATTAGGCTAGAGACTACCTTTTGGCAAAACTACTAAAAAAAACTCAACATCCAGCAGCAGGCAGCTGAATGGAAAAATATCACTAACTTCCATACTTGCAATGTCATGCCTAGCTATCATTTTAAACTAAATGCAGTAGATAACTAAAAATAAAAACTGAAAGTTCAGTGACTCACAAAAAAATTGCAAATGTGTGAAGTTACTCAGTCAACTGGATTACTGGTAGCCAGAAGGCTAACTTATAGCAGCACTGATTAATCCAGCAAAACAACTACTTAAGATACTTATTTGCATCATTTATTTGCTACCCCTCTATAGGTAACCATTTCCTGGCATACTATTTTCCTTGTACCTCACAGCCAAAAGAATGGAACTCCCCACTATACCATAAAAGCCTGGGTTTGGGCTTAGTCTAATACAACAGGGAGTAGTCTTGGGTCCTTGAATCACAAATGCTCATAAAACCAAATATTCTTTAGCTAAATATAGGAGGGGGGAACAGAAAAGAGACACAGCCAGCTTAACATTGGCCTTGGCCTATACAAAGTTAGATCTGAGATAGAGAAAAGCCTGTGTATAGAGATACCATAACACACTATTAACTGGACAAAGGGGTTATTACTTACTGCAAAAGAACAAGTAGAAAATGTTCAGATGAATCAGAATAAAATTCTGCTCTCTTGCTAGTCAGGCCAGCAAAATCTGTTAAGTTTTGGGCATGCACATATTGAATGTGACGTTAGTTTCAACCTTGGGTAATTATTTGCAAATCCGTGAACTCTGATAGAAATTGAATATTCACAATTTGTTTCATGCCTGAGCATAACCAAGATACACCCATCATTCTGTGACACCAAAGAAAGGATCCTGAAATGTGCATGTCTTATCAAATTCTCCATTTTGGGGAATATGCACCAGTCACAGAAAGTTATATACTGGGGAGGTCCTAGCCTGACTTCTCTCAAAGCGGAAGAAACTTTCTAAGTTATGCTAACAGTCAAAATTTCTGTCTTGCATTTCTTTGTGCTTCTTGACAACTGTAAGCAAAGTGAATTATGCAAGGGAGAAGATATTTCACACACAACTTTCAACATGCATCCCATAGAATTATGGAATTGGAAGAAACCACAAGAATCATCTAATCCAACCCTTTGCAATGTGCAGGAAAATCAACTAAACCATCCTTGAGGGTAGCTGTCATCTACCCATGTTAGGGTTTTGATGCCATATTAGAATAACTTGATGTAGAACAAGTATATACAGTAAGTCAAGAATCAACTGTGGGAGGGGCCCTGTCTTCTTGCATGCCTTCCACACTATTAAGCTGATCTCTCTGAGGAAGAAAATGCTGGTCTGTTGATGTAGCACAGAGGAACTACTCTCATTTTTATAGCTTTTTCATTTTCTATTTTTAAAGCAGCAAACATGTCTTGATTCTGAAAGCAGTATTATCAAACACCAGCTGAATGAAACCAGGACTTGGTTACTTTCACTGTTGCTCTTCTGTTCACTAAATACATTGTAGAAGCCACCATAATAATTCTCTTTTTTTTCCAGAAAAGTTAATAACACAATTAAAAATTAATAGTGTATCAATAGCTGTGATTGATCTTATGAGGAGCAAGCAAGAACCATGATTAACATTCCTTGACTAAGATCCTTCAACTTCATAAAAAGGCAAACAAATAAGAGAACAAAATTGTTTTTAGAAAGTTACAAGAAGCAAACAATGATAACTAGCCTTCTTCTCAAATAGAAAACATTCCTGTTTTTCAACATAAAGATTTGCTCAGCATTATGTAGCCAATTTTTTTTCTTTCATATCATTCCCAAAGCTATAAAAGAAATATTACAGCCTTGCATAAAAATCAATAGTGCCTCCCTTTTCAATTTATAAAATTTACTTCTGCTACAGAATCTTACATAGGCATTTTAGTTTTTAAATATGCTTTTTTAGAACTAAGCTGACATCAGCAAAGTGCTTCTTTCAAGCAAATGTGTTAAGATACGTCAATTAAGATGTAAGCAAATTTCCAGATAAACAGCTTCTGCCTGTCTGACTTCTACTGTTACCAAGTTGCCTGAAGGGATGGAATGTGCAACGAGCTAGCTTTAACAGGCAGTAGAGGCAAACACTGGAGTGCAGAGAAATATCTCAGGCAAGTATACAGTGTATTTTGAACTCAAGTGCCAGGTTAACTGGAAAAGGGGTGGGGGGAGGAAGGGAGTACTTTCAGTGTATTAAAAACTGTAGCTTAACAGAGTCTAAGACCATAATAAAGGAGAACTAAAATATCCTTAGAGATCGAATGGGAAGAACCGAAGGAGTTTCAGGGTGTGTGATCAAGCAGGCCAGGCGAAGGTTCTTGCCTTGGATAACGTGCTCGGGAGAGATGGTTTTCTTCTCAGACTTGTTGCAGATCTCGTTAGCCTCGGAGGAAATGAGGTGGATGAACTCGGTGCAGCAGTTCACAACCAGCTCCCGGGCATCATTAGCCACCCGCACGTTCGGCAGCGTCTCCTTGATCATCTTATTGATCGCCGCCCGCGGGATGGTCAAATCGTCATCATTGCCGGAAGAAGAAGCCATTCTGGATCGATCGGGTGCACTCGGTAAATAAACACCGACTTAAGAAGACTCGGAAGGCGAGCGAAATGAAGCCAGAAAAGGAAACGTAAAGCCACAGGAGACCGGGCGGGCGCAATGGCCGCAACGATGCAGGAGGGTCGCCCTCCGCGCCGCGCTATGCGGCCAGAAAGGATTCCTTGAGCCTAGGCGGAAGGCGCCGCCACACTCCTTCTCAAGTGCCGGAGTCACAACAACGACAGCCACCAGCGCTGCCTCCGCCACATCCCTCCGGGCTCTTCTGCTGCAGCCACCGCCGCTGCCGGAACCCAAAAAAACACCTTCCTGGCCCTGCCGCCTCGGGGAAGGGACAGCACGAACCCCTCTATTACGCAGAGCCGGCAGCCGCTTCCTTTTCCTTCTTCACGAGACGCGCAACGGAGTGCCGGGAACAAGGAAAGAACTTGCGACGGTCGACCAACCCAGGCGGCGCGCACGCCACTTCCACAGGAAGCGCTTCCTCGCGGCCCACCCTAGTTCCGCTTCCGGTTTAAAACAGAAAAGAGGGTGTTCCCCGTTTCTGACAGGTAGACAGTACCTCAGCCCAAGTCTTTTCTTAGGCGTGGCGTGTCTTCCTCGGGAACGCTCATTTTCTATTCCACCCTCTTCATTGTCTTGTTGTAACGCTTAGCCGGTGAATTTCCCAGATGGGATAAAGGACGTGCGCTCTACCGGGTAGGAACATTACGCATGCGCAGTGACGTTATATTGCTCGCGTCCAAGCGTCTTTCTCGACAATAGTAATTTTTGAGTTCTTGATGCTCTCTGAGCTTAGTTGTTCGCTTGCAGATGTTTCATTACCCAAATAGATAACATCATCAGTGCGAGTGAGTGTGGGGTTTGCTGCTTGTTTATATGCAGTAGCTTGCCCTGCCAGTTTTGATAGGGGTGTGGTTTCCTCCTTGGTGGTTCCTTGATTAGAATATTATTTTCTGCCCGATTGCCTTAACACCATTCAAACTTACACACCAGCAAAAAATGTACAGTACATCCTCTCCAGCAGCCCACATTCAGAGAAGCAGGGATCAGCACCAGATAATCATATCCCTGTCTACTCAGAGGTAACATTTTTTTGAAGTCTCAGGTAAATTTTAGCAGAAGTGCAGCTTAAATTCAACTCCATGAACTATGCTGTTGTAGGGTAGTCTACGTTTCTGACAGTTTCTTGACAGAATCTGAGAATAAAATTAGGGTGGCATAACATCCTAGTATTTCAGGAAAATGGTTTTGTTACAACTCTTGATTAATAATAATGCAATTGAATGTTATTTTCTTTACTGACTTGGTGCAGTTTCTTATATAAATAATCTAGAGTTAAGTCATTAAGAAAATAGGATTTTCAGAACTATAATATAGCTAACTTTCTCATGGATAGGCAAGAATTCTAGCAAATGTACTAGAGTTTCTGGTATTCTTTCAATGCACCAAGTCCAGTTTTGAAGTTTTCCCTCATGTTTCAAGTGCAACTTGTTCATCAAAGAAGAAAAAAGGCTTTTTGGAAAGAGAACTGGAAACAGCTTTCTTAGCTGCAGCTGTAAGATATACCGCTGCATCATGTACAACTTTTTTCTAAGAGATGCAGAAAGCCTTGATTTCATCATAATCACAATTAATACTATGTTTATTTCATGCCTTTTCTTCAGGTCAAAGTACATTCCCTCATTTAATCCCCAAAACAATATGTGAGATAGGCTGGACTGGGAAAGAGTGGCTGGCTCAAAGTTAATGTACTAAGCTACTGTGTCTGGGGATAGATTTGAACCCAGATCTCCATGGTTCTAGTCCAACACCGTGACCACTACACCACACTGGCTCTTAGGTTCCTTATGGCTGCAGTTGTTGCACATATAGCAGACAAAGCAGGACATCATATCTCACATGGTAATTACATATTATTCCAGGAGTCCCTAAATTTTGATATGGGGAGCATGTTTAGAATTTTGAAAGCACATCAAAAGTGTTCTCACAAAATGGCCATTCTATTCATGAAAAATCGTGGAGTGTTGTCAGATACAAACACCTCATCTTTGCAATCTTCTGAACAGGCATTCATGCCATTTTTATTTTCTTTGAATTATGGGAGCCACATACATTATTATTCTCCAGGCTCTCTCCATTGCATCAAATTCTTGCATCATCAAGAGATAGAATCTAAGACAGATACATGCAGGAAAGGCCAAGTTGTTTCATAATGACTGGATGAACTGGGACAGACTTAGTGGCCCACTAAAACAGCTAAGCATGCTTGTTTATTTTCCCCCATAGATATGAATGGTTACTCTTCAGTCCTGGGGGGGGGCGCATCATTCTTTTGACAGTGGTCATGCAATAGTGTATGAGTTAATGGTGTGCAAGTTTAATGTGCAAATGCACATGACTATAAACCCCCATTCAGAATACATGCATTCTATATACAGTATACAGTCCCATTTATCATTAAAAGTAGCATTTTGTTATAATGTAGGGGAAAAGCAATATGATCTGTTTTGGTTATTAATAATGTGTTTAGCTAAAATTTTAAAGTATAATGAAAAGTTTTGTTAAAAAAAGACTGGATTTCTCTTTAACAGTAAACATAAGAAAAGAACTTTATTACTATACTGGTTTCTTTAACAAATAATAAAAATACTGAAAAAGTAAGACAAAATTATGAATCACTATAAATAACTGTATTCATGGTTTCTCTAAAATGTCCTCATGAACACAAAGCTATGTCAATAAATCCACCTGTGGTCAACTGCATGCCAGCACACTATTTCTTCAGAAACTTTCTTCCTAATATAAACATATTTTCTAGTTAAAGTCTTTGTTATAATGAAGTTCACTCAGACCTCAAGTTCTTGTTAAAGAAAGCACTGTGTGATATACAATCTTCTTGGATGGAAATTTTACTTCAGGAACACTTCTAGTTTCTGAGATTTTAGAAGATGTTGCTCATACATATTTAAAAGTATTATCTCTAAAATCAAAAGAGCTCAGAAGCTCACAATTTACTAATTAGTTTAAATGAAATCCAATATTTTCACATATGTGATCTTATGGAATTACTGTCTTCCTCTAGCCATGAATTACATCATAAACAATAAGTCTATCTGTATAGGAATCTACAGGACCATATATAAGGGATTTCAAACTCAAATTGCCATGAGAGCCACATGAGGACCAGCCTGAGGGCTACAATACCAAATCCCTCACTGATAGAAACATCTCCAGTGAGTCAAATATGAAGAGCATCATAGTATATCACCAAATATAACTTTATAAATAAAAAAGTCCACTGCAAAATAGAACCACAGAGGTCCCATCCTTCACCTACCATCTCCATGGTCTCTAACCTCCAGAAAGTTGCACTCATCAAATATATTCAATTTTGGCAAGTGCATAATCTACTCACTCCCTCTGCTAATGCCCCATGCAACCAGGTGGAAGGCCAATAGGCTGCAGTCATGGCTGTGATGGTGCCACAGTACAAGGCTAGGAGTGTAGTTGCCTTCCAGATCGCCCTAAAACAATCCATTCCCTCCCAAGAACCAAACCACCCAACCCCAAAGCCACGGCAAGAAGGACCAGACCCCAGCCCACTCTGTACAAGTGCAGAGTCACACTGTCTTCTCAGCTCAAGGAGGGACCCAGAATGCCTGACTGACATCCATAAGACCACTTCTCTGTATATGCAATATGCCTTCCACAACTTTGGTCCACTCTTATTTAACCACCATTGCAGGTTGCAGAAAATGACTTGAAGGGCCACATGAAGCTCACAAACCATGAGTTTGAGACCACTGCCATATAGTGATATTATTCTGAACAAAAGCATCAAGTTGCTTAAAAATACAGGCCAGACTCCAGAGTACCAGATGAAGTTTTCCAGTTTCCTGAGGCTGCAACAAGATGCACTTGGCTAGGGGTTTTCAAACTTTTTAGTCTGCGGAATCTGTTAGTTAAACACACACACACACACACACAGTGTGTGTGTGTGTGTGTGTGTAGTAATCCCCTGATCAAAAAGCCAAGCACTAATTGAGAGAAAATTGGCTAGGTTTAATGAACTTTTCCCCTCTTAATCTCTCACTGAACCCCGTTAAGTTTTCAAAGAACCCTAAGGTTCCAGGAAAACAGTTTGAAAAACCCTGTACCAGGCTACTGCTGGAAAGGGAAAAATCTGCAGTCCTCCTATCACATGATGCACGGAGCATATGAAATTCCTTGCAGACCAGCCATAAAAATCAAAGAAGTTAAACATTTTCATTGGTTAACTATCATCCCTGTCATGTATGTATTTTGTCAGGTATATAACCCCAAGCCAATTCATTTCCTGAACAAATCAGAAACACATCCAAGTAAACAGATTAACATGTAATTAATTTTAAATAGTTGCAATAAGGCATTATTTTCAATCACAATCAGCTTAAACTAGCCCTACAACTAGTAAAATGATTTGAAGAATGCTTTGACAGAACTGAGACCAATATTTGAGCTGCTAAAATATACATCTTTTCATATTTAAACTGTAATCCTTTGCACATTTCCTTGGAAAAAGCTCCCCAAAACATTAGAGAATTTAATTCTGAGAAAATATGCATATAGTGATCTTCTTACATCTTTAATTTGGATGTGACTGAACACAGTAAATAAAACATTAAGGACATCAGTATGCTAAATATTCTAGAAATATGACAGCTCCATTTTAGATTTTTTTTTAACTCAGTATTTTATTTTTGTATACTGCACTGGACTTTTTGGTGAAGTAAATTGATGATCTAAGATGACAGCAATAATATTTCAGTAATTTCTGTATCTTAGTAGTTACTCTGTGTTTACACCAAAGAAAGATAACAATGCGTGAAAAGTTATTTCAATGACTTGGGATATATTATACTCCATTTACCTAATAAATATTATATCATATAGAAATACATACTTGATTTTTCTTTGCAGCAGATAAAAATTATAGTGAAGAATTTTCAGAATTCTTTATCTCTTTGTTGATATATTTTAGCATGCCACTGAGTGTTTGAAAGTCATTACTGTCACAAGTCACCTCTTCATCTACATTGTGTGTCAGAGGATCAAAGGAAGACTCACTCAAACTCTTTGGTGAAGCATGAGATATATATTTTGACATTCCAGAACTTACTGAAGAGTCTAGTGTAACTGTCACAAGTTTTTGACTGAGTAAGTTTTCATTGTCCTTAATATTTAGATCATTGGTGCTTGTAGAACGACGTAGTTTTCTGTGAGTAGAATGCTTGGCAAAGTCAAGTCCTTGATCATCAAACCAATAATGTCCTGTTAATTGCTTGATGCCTGCTGTTTTTTCATGAACTGCAATTCTTGTTTGTAATCTTGTAAGCTCAGATTCCTATAATGCAAAACAAATTTAAAGCTTTAACAGAAATTAGGTGATCAGGGATCACCAGTGTTTTTCTTAATGAGAGCTACTTATGATTAATAAAAAACATCCAGAGTAGCATACGTGGCTTGATTATTCTTATTAAGCAAAGCATCTCCAATGTTATTTTTACAGGTTACCAAGCAATGATCTATTTCTGAAACAATATTATTTGAATAACAGAAGGAGCTAGTGTGAAAGAAAGCTGATCCCTATCTTTATTTAAGTGTTGATCTTGACACTGCATAATGTCTACCAATGCTATTTAATATTTTTTTTTACCTTTTTATTTCTTTTTGAGGGAGTAGTCCCTGCTGCCTTTATTTCAACAGATTATTTTTCTAGCAACACACAAGAGTTGTGTTACTTTACACATTTTCCAAATAGGATTTTAAAACTATTTTGATCTATCTTACCCTTGCACCCTCAACATATTGAAAGGTACCTGTCTTAACTAGAGAGTTTGGCATTCAAAGTCTGCTCCCTGACCTTGTTTGCCTTCAGTAATCTATGCAGTCTCTAAGTATTGTTGAGTCAATCAGACAGAAAAATAGTGATAGGACCTGGCAATGATGATGATGAAGTAGAAGTATTTACAGTACTTGTGACAGCCTGAGATTAAAAGCCAACAAATAAATTAGGAACTGCTAACAGGGTTAGCCCTTACTATATAGGAAGCATTTAGAGCAGCCTTTCTCAAGCTTTTTACCCTGTAAGAACCCCTGAAATAATTTTCAAGTCTCAGAAAACCCTTGAATAAAAATAGCAGAAAATACAAAAACTATCTAATATAATTCAGGCCAGCAGCTGAATTGTGACAGGTAAAAATTCCTACAACTGCAAGTGCTAGCATTATGCAGCACACAAAGTTCATAAAACAATGTTTATTTTTTTCAATCACATTATCTTGAAGAATCCCTAGTGACCTCTTGCATAACTCTAGGATTCCAGTTGAGAAAGGCTTCTTTAGAGAATACACTCAGAAAAAGAACAAACATAACCAATATATGATCTTAAAAGCTTTAGATTGGGATGCTGTAGGTCCTGATGATAGATCCTAAAAAGTATTCTTTAGTTGTTATGCAGCTTTTCTTCTTTGCCTCTTGTTATAATTAAGATTAACCCTTCACATGGAATAAAATCATTCTTCCCTAATATACTTAAGGTATTGGCCATTACTGGCTACCTGCTAACAGTTTGCAGATTATCTTTTACAGATCAATGTATTATATTTTGTTCTGTTGAAGGCTACTATTGTGTGAAGCAGGAGGAAGAGAAAGTAGTTATTATTAAATAATGGGAAAAGATGTCACTGAACTCAAGATTTTAATTTGTGAGTTAAGCAATAAAGAACACAATGGAACAACTTGGAAAAGGGGGTTTAGAATTTCCAATAAGAATGTATGTATTCCACCAGAAAAGTGTGAAGAGCTGGAGAAAAAGGTAGGATTGAAACTTGAGATTGATATAGACCTACTTAGGGAACATCTATTTGAATAAGTTTAAATATCTAGGGCTATATGAATTGCATCTTAAGGAATTAGCAGATGGTTTGGCTGAAACCAATGTATTCAAGAATCCTGGAGAATTAGTGAAAAGTAAGAGGACAAGAAAAAAGCAAATGTTGATCCCATGTTCAAAAAAAGGGAACAGAATGAATTAAGATCATTAATAACTGAGAAGATTCTAAAGTAGGTCAGAAAGAGATCACTCTATCACCTTGAAAATAATGTGATAATTAATAGAAATCAGCATGGATTTTCAAGAACAAGTCTTGCAAAGTAATTTTATCTCATTCTTTTAAACAACTTTTTAAATAGATTGTGGAAATGCTATAAATTTAATATATCTTGATTTTAGCAAAGTGTATTTCAGTGTATCCTGTAACACTATTACTAGCAAGCTAGTTAAATGTTGTTTGAATGGCATGATAATTAGGTGGATACATAGCTAGCTCAAAAACCATACTCAAAGAGTGCTCATCAAAAGTCCCTCATCACACTGGAGAAGTTATCAAGTGGGATACTGAAAAGTTAAGTTTTGAGCCCTCTGCTCTTCAGTACTTTTACTAATAACTTGGATGGTATCTGCAGTTTCATCAAATCTGCAATTAACAAAGAACTGCGTTAGAGAGCTAATATCCTAGAAGAAAGAAAATTCAAAACAATTGCAAGTTATTATATAAGAAAGAAAAATCAAATACACTTATATAGGATCGAGGCATCTGGTTTGGTCACAGTATTCATAAGAAAAGATCTTTGAATAGTAGTTAATTGCAAACTAAACCTGAGTCAGCAGAATGAAATTGCTGCAAAAAAGGGTAAATTAGGTTTTAGGCTGCATCAACAAAACTATTGTTTTCAAATCACAGGAAGTAAGAGTTTGACTTTATTCTGCCTTACTCAGACTCCACTTCAAGTGCTGTGTACAATTCTCAGCACCATACTGTACTCTAAAAAGTGTTCTTTAAACAGGGAGAGCAATTTGATACTGGAACCAATTACTCAGTAGATCTTTACTGGATGTCTTCAAGAAGAGCCTAAGCAGCTATCTATTGAGGATGCATTAATTTGGATTCCTACACTGAGTAAGGGGTTGGACATGCTGGCCAACTCTCTGAGACTGAAAGAACTGGCTTGTGATGAACCATATCAACCCAGTCTAATTATTTCTGACTCTGTAATTTTACATTATGAAGAGACATTGGCTCTCAGAACACAGAAGAGAGGAATTGGGCTCAGCAAATATTTAATGACAATTCTCCCTTAATTTGAGAGAAGGTAATTCCTTTGTGGTTCAAAATCCATATGTATGTATGTATGTATGTATGTATGTATGTATGTATGTATGTATGCATACATATTCAGAAGAAGTG